CTCTTCCAGCAAGCGGACCTGACCTAGGGTGGATTTTACATTGGGTTTTAAATATTCGGAAGACGCAACATTAAAATTCGGTTTAATTCGGTTTTAAGGGGGGGATTGTATATATGTTCTGGTTTTAAATATGTTGTGCGCCGCCCTGAGTCCCTGTCGGGAGAAGGGCGGCATATAAATTAAATAAAATAAATAAAAAATAAATAAATAAAGGTTGCCTACCCCTGGTCTAGTGTAATCATATAGTTGTAGTGGCTATAAGCCTGGTCCATGGACCAGTACTGGGCCACGGCATGCCAGCAACTGGGCTGCACAAACAAGCAAAGCTCCGTCCGGGAGATGCAGGCAGCACACAAAATCATGCACCCTCCAGTCCACGGAAAAACCTCTCTCCACAGAACCAGTCCCTGGTGCCCAAATGGTTGGGCACCTCTGCTATAAGCAGTCTGTTCCATTTAGGAAGCTATTAATATATCTTTCTCTAACATGGCACCTTCCAGATGTGTTTGGCCATGCAGGTTAGGAAATTCTTGGAACTGGAATACAATTCATGAAGGTTACAAGGTGGAAATGTTGCTTTAATAAGGCAACAGCTATTAAACAATACCAAAAGATTTATTAATCGCCATAGTAATAATTTTACATCTGTTGTTGCAATTAAACCAATGTCAACTTCTGGGCATTGCCATTACTTTTATTGCCCACAATATAGAAGTGATTTGCTATTGGCTTCTTGCAGGACATTTTGCAATTTCCAAGTCTGACTTATAGTCCTCCTGGGTTTTCCTCATGGTGTCCCATCCAAGACTCAGCTACCCCCCTCCTACATTTTATAAATTCAGCAAAAATCAGGAAGATGCTGTTCCTGCTGTTTTTTTAATCTCCTATAATTCCATCTCCTATAATTCCACTCTCTCAATACGTGGCAGCAAAAGAGCCTGTGGCAGACCTTACCCAGGTTTGGAAGCTAAACAGGAATCACAGGTTAAATAGTTAGACTAGAAAGTTGAAAATTGTTCCTGTGGAAGGTATGACAAATTTCTTCCATGTTATTGCCAAGGATACATAAATACATCCATAGTCACTGGAGGTCAACCTCAGTATTTATTTATTTATTTATTTATTTATTTATTTATTTGTTTGTTTGTTTGTTTGTTTGTTTGTTTGTTTGTTTGTTTGTTTGTTTGTTTGTTTATTAGCTTTCTATGCCCACCTTTCCTCCAAGAATTCCAGGTAGCTTACATGGGGATTTCCTTTCATTTTATATAATACCATAACTTTGAAAAGGTGGACAAGTTCATAGAAGCTGGTGACATCACCAGTGATCTTGTCTTTATCATATTAAAGAGCTTGTAGAAGTTGTCAATTCACCTTCATGGCTCCTGTAACTATGTGGAAGAATTGCTTGGTCTGAGTGGTAAAGTGCTTGCTGCATACAATAATTACTCAGTGCCATTCTATGCATGTTTATTCAGATTATAGAATTTCATTTGGATATATCTGTATGCCTGAAGAATTATGAATAAGAATATAAGCCACTTAGGAGAATGGTGATTTCAGAGGATGGGGATGGGGTAATTTAAGGTGAGGATAGGGACAATTTATTTGCTAGAGGCCTCCTGTACTTGTTTTCATCTTCAGCCTAAAATAGTTTTAAAAGGGGGGGAGGGGAAATCTGTCCTTTCTGGTGATGTTGGTAGATGGTAGATGGTAGATGGTGACCATCTCCTCCAACCTCACCCATCCTTGGTGTGAAGTAATATTTATGATGCTGTGATTAAAACATATTGTTTCTTTTGTAGTGTGGACCTCCTGTGCTGGATAGACATTGAGCAGTTCAGAAGAATGTTACACAAAAATAAAATACAACGAGATGAAAAATCTAAAGACATTAAAAAGAAATATCTAAACAAGAAATATTTCTTTGGACCTGACAGCCCAGCTACAAAAGAAGAACAAGAGCAGGTAACTGGCTGCGTTTAAAATGTTAGTAGAACATGCTGCTGGTTCAGTTAGTTTTAACATATGATTGCTGAGTTGTGTCCTTCGTACTAAGCAATATTTTTCCTGGTGGCCAATATGCATTGTGTTTTCGTTTAATCTGATGCCATTAAAATAAAACCAGACTTCTATGTAGAAGTTGTTTTTTTCAAAATGCAGCCCCATAGAAGCAGTGAATGACACCCATGCAGATTAAGTAGATTGCAAAGGTACATACTGTTCCATATAAAGCAGGGATGTCAAACTGCCGGCCCGCAGGCCAGATGCATCATAGTGAAACCGCACCCACCCCATTGCTGGCAATGGCAAAAAAGTCACAATACGTTGCGACATGTCATGTGATGTTGTGAGTTTGACATCCCTGATATAAAGAAAAGAATGTTTCCCTAGACTGTCATAATTTGGGCTGCAAAATCCAGATGACCGGTAGATGGCAGCAGAATAAGTATTTGAAGATCATGGTGATTTCAGGAATTGTGCCATCAAGTTGTTGATTCATAACAACCATGTAGATCAATTTTCTGTGACAATCTGTCCTTTCAGGTCTATCCATCAGCACTGTAATTGAGCCCATCTACCTTTCTGCTGGTTGTCCCCTTCTCTTTCCTTCCACCTTTCCTAGAATTACAGTCTTCTTCAAAGATCTTTACATAATGTATCCAAAATAGGATAATCTGTGCCTATCTTGATATGGTAGCTTAGTTTAAGACTAAAATGTATGCACTGGCTAATGTGTTACAAAGGTGCTTTTTCCAAAAAGCAACTGGACTTTCTTGGGAAGTTTTTTTGGAAAATGTTTCACTTCTCATCCAAGAAGCTTCTTCAGTTCTGAAGAAGAACTGAATTGAAATGAAGAAGCTTCCTGAATGAGACGTGAATTTTTTTCAAAAAAGACCCCAAGAAAGTCTAGTTGCCCTTTGGAAAAAGCATCTTTGGAACAACAATGACCAGGATGATTTTATATATATATAAATGATGAGAAAAGGTATTACACATTACTTCAAAATATTAGATATTTAGATAACTATTAGAAACCAAAGATATGAGCTGAGGTTTTTGCAGTCAAGAGATTAAAATGTTTAGCAAATGAATATACACATAGTTGCAAATATTATAAACATGAATATGCATATAAAATATATGCTGTGCAAATTAATATGTAAAAGTATATCCAAATTTTCCTTCATGGGAGGGCTCAGGATCTGGTAGTTCTCCCCCTGGCATGGTCTATTTACTGAGCAGGCAAAGAACTTTTCACTCTGAAATTCTGAAAGGGTGTTGTTGGCTCTTGATTACTCTAAAGGTCTCCTTTAGTTGCAGTTGCGTTCAAAATATATATTCAGTTATATTGCATGAAGAGAAATATTTCATTCTTGGCAAGAAAGAAAAGAGTGCCTGAAATTACTGAATGGTTCTAAAATTAGAGAATTTCACCCCTACTTGTAAGATTGCTGAAATTAACATATTTTTCTTATTAAACATGTTTAATATTAGCTAGTGTGTAGGCCTGGAGTTATATATGTCTATGCTTTGGAAATACAGTAAATGTGCATAAATGAATTGATTTAGTAAAATTATCTTACGGTACTTTGGCTTTGGAAGTCATTGGGAGCTGGGTGGCATATAAACTTAATAAGTCACTATTGTTGTTTTGGAAAAAATCAGGTCTCATGGTGTATTTTAGAATCAGAGATCAATAAGAATAAAGGAGATCTGAGAGGGAAAATGCCAAAATATTATAGGATAGTAACCAAAATTCAAATATCTCAGACATATAAAATGAGATTCTTGCTCAAGATTTCCTTTTGAGTATCTTCTTATACATAATAACAAAAAGTTATTTTAGATGACAATTTATAGACATTGTGCATTTTATCAATGTGGGTTATGTTCATTTTAGCTGTAGGTGGAAACAGGTGTTTTCCAATTAGGTGGAAACTATGCTTATACTGTAACCATCTTTCCTACACTGAGTTGGATTATGACCTCCATCATTTACATTCAGCATGGTTTAGGTGTACCTGGCATGATGGGGTGGGTGGGGTAGACCAACTTATAAGGAAGACAACAGATGCAAATGTTGACCTAGATTTGACAGATTATCTAGTAAGGAGCTGACATTCTTTTATCTGTATATAATAGAGAGTAATTAAAGGATTTTATGAACACTCTATTACAGTGGAAATTCTTTCCCTTAAAAGCTGAAGTTGATTTATAGACACAGTAGCTCTGAAAAAGGACTTCTTTAATTCAAAACACACTGGGCTATAAAATAAAGACCATATGATGGTTAAAATCATGTATTAGCTTAGTACCAAGCTATTTACTCCTAAACATCCCCTCTATATTTCTGGATTATCAATGGGGCAGGTTTGGTGGGTCCTGACAGATATATTGAGCATCTCTGGTTAATGTTGCTTTCTGCATGAAAAGGCCTAGTTGGGGAATGTTTCCCATTATTGCTGAAGCAATCCCCCTCTTCGTTACAATTTAGGAAGGAGCTCAAGAAATATTTGATTATCTAAGTTCCCTAAGTGTTTTATCGGTTTTATTATTTAACATTTTTAGAAATAATTGTTTTATTGTTTTACTTTAATTGGAATTTTTGATTTTTTTTTTCAGACCGCCACCCTGTTAAGGCAGTGCATAGCATACTTTAAATATCAAATCAATTTTAAATGAAATTTGGATTTTCCTCACTTGTTTTGCCTTAGTAATTGCTCGGTAATCTAAAACTGACTTTGTTTACTGTTGAACATTTTGTGGTCCCCTGGATATTTTTACTAGGTTATGAAGTCACATGGAGGCTGGGGGCAAGTACTTCATGAACACGTTGCTCCTGTGATCTTGTTAGACGTTCAAAAATATGCCCAGAGGAGATTAGAAAATAAGTGGTTGCCTCTGTTTTATACCCGTGAAGACTTGGGAACGTGGAAAACACGAAAGGTAATATTTTAACAATTTATATGGCAGTGCAGTGACATGTAGTTTGAATTGTGAATACCTCAGAGTATTTGATTATCTGAAAAATCATTGATAATAAGAAGCATGCAGGATAGTACAGATGACTTGGTATGCAGTTTTTCTTCTGATGGATCCCTTAGTAGGTATTCCTGTAAGCCACTGAAAATGAAAGTGGCTTTTGAAGCTGGGGTTCTCCATCTGGCAAGCATTCCAAAGTTTGCTGGCGGGAGGTAGAGACCTTGATCATTGCAAGATTCTTTCCATCATGCACAGTCCCTCCCTCCCCGAGACACAAATGCAATTCAGTCCATGTGGAAGCTCACAGAATAATGCAGGCTGGGTCTTTCGTGCTCAGGCTGTCTTTTTCTCACACTGTGGCTGTTGCTCATCCTCCCACCTAGGGCGCTGTCTTCTATCAAGAACAGTATCGATCTTTTCTTCTGCACAATAGTAAAATAGATGGAGTCCCTGTCTGGCTATCAGCCAGGCCTTTCATTGAGTGTAGGAAAGAATTATTGGCTCGGTGGTGCAATGAATCTACTGGATAAGAAGGAGCTTTTAACTTGGTACCCCTCCAAAGAGGAAAACTATTGAATTTGCAGAGTCCTCACATCACTGATTTTATGGATGTAGAGTTGGGGGATTAAGCTTGGCTTTGTTTTCTGTTCTTTTCATTTCTTCAAAGTTTCTTCAGTGTATCAGATTACTTTCCTGACCAGGAAAAATAATAGTTGGGAAAAAATGTATTAATCTATCTAAGGGCAGCTCTTCTTTTTCAGCAATGGTCTGTTCAGGCCCATGTCATTTCAGGAAGCAATCTGTTTGCCTTTTCCTCACTGGCTTCAAATTTTAAGATAGCACATGTGTTTGATTTTGACCATCCATTCCAGATTGAAGAAAATAAAATCTCATTCTTTCAATGAAGCTTAATCAATGCTAATCTTGACCAGAGTTAGGAGATCCTTAAAGTAATGAGGATACCCTCAACATCAGTATTAATATTCATGCAAGTAATCAATATGCTGTTTTGTCATGTTTGCTTTCAGCTACATATGGGAGAGGCAGTAGAAGACATTTTAATTCAGGAACAGGAAAAGAAACAAGCACCATGGAAGGCAAGCTGTGTTTGTTTCTACTTGGGTCTTTGTGTAATACGGACTTACCATCCTCTAAACTATGCAGTCTTTACATAAACAGGAGAGTAAGCTTAGCTGAGTAAGAGCAGTCATTACAGTATTGTATTCATAATGCTATGTGGGTAGCATTGGCTCATGTTGTTAAATTAACAAAAATAAGTAATGCAAATGCCACAGTCTCTGTTATTCTTGGATTTGGCACAACTGGAATCAGAAGCTAAAATAAAGAAAAGAAATCTCAATTGTTTTTTTTTTAAATAAAAAAGGTTGTTTCTGGTTTCTGTGTCTACAAGTGCAATTAATAAATGTATGACCAATACCTGAATAAAGATACAAGCTTTTGATATTTTATTTTTAGTGTAGGCCAGAACACTAACTCTTGAGAAATGTTGTCTCTTGCAAAGATTTATAAGCATCTGCTTCACTTCAGTATCTCTTGAGGCGCTTGTGGGAAAGTGGCCAACCTTAATCCAAATCACCATTTTGTATATTATATAACATAAAAAAAGATATTTGGGTTCTGAACCCCAGCATTACAGTGCTGTACTTATTTTCTTTTCAGACTTCCATGTCTTTAGACTTTAAACTTTAATGTAGAAAGTACATTTTCTTTATCCAGAAAACTGGAACAAAATATTGCTTTTTACCATTTGGAAGATAATTTATTGTTGAGCGATTAAATGAACTCATAAAAATATGAAATATGCAGCAAAGTGAGCAGGATTAATCATATCACAGAAAGTCTGTTTCACTTACAGCTACGTTCTCACATGATGATCATATTGATTGTTAAATGTCTTAAAGCCTTGTGACATGACAGATCAGGCCAGTTCTGGCCTTTTCCTTTTTTTTTCTATCTCAAAGAACAGCCAACTCTATCTTGGAGGTGGAGGATGGGCTTTTCCCTTTGATTTGGGTTCTAGAGGGAGTAATAATAATAATAATAATAATAATAATAATAATAGTAATATTAATAATAATAATAATAATAATAAAGTTGGAAGGGACCTTGGAGGTCATCTAGTCCAACCCCCTGCTCAGGCAGGAAACCCTATACCATTTCGGACAAATGGCTGTCCAGTCTCTTCTTAAAAACTTCCAGTGTTGGAGCATTCACCGCTTCTGGAGGCAGGTTGTTCCACTGGTTAATTGTTCTAACTTACAACAGCTCTTGACTTACAACAGTTCATTTAGTGACTGTTCAAAGTTACAAGTCAGTTGCCAACTATCTGAATTTGGATCACGTGACTATGGGCTACTGCAATGGTTGTAAGTATAAAAAATGGTCATAAGTCATTTTTTCAGTACTGCTGTAACTTTGAACAGTCACTAAACGAACTGTTGTAAGTTGAGGATGACCTGTACTAATGACAAAACAAGTTTGGTAATGAAACAGTTCAAGCTCAGAGAGCACCAAGGACCTGGCACTAATGTTTTTGTTTTGTTTTTTCTCCCTGTAGTTGTTTGTTTTGACAGGATCAGGGAGTGCAGTGACAGGGGACACAGCCAGGTTAAGTAGGAAAGCAAGACTGAGGGATAGTTCAGGAGGGGCATCTTGTGGGCAGGGAATCCCTTCAAGAGATTTTTTTCTATTCCTTCTAGTATATTTCATTTTTAAAGGTGTCT